TTTTTCAATTTTTGGTACCAGGGATTGAACTTAGGTCCTTGCCCTTATGAGGCAGGCGGCAAAACCACTGAGCTAAACCCCCAGCCCTAGATAAGTAAATAATCTTTAAAAGCAATATTCCTGGGCCTCATTGCAGACCCACTGAATCTTATTTTTCGAGGAAGAGACTTCCCCAGGTAAGTCAGATCATCATTACAGTGTGAGGAGCATGGGACTAAGATGTGTACCAGATTTTGAAATACAAAAAAACGGTGAAATGTCTTATTAATAATCAGATACCAGACAATTCTCTCACAGGTTCAGGAAACGATCTTTGAAATGTTAATGTGTGGAATGCTTCCTTGCCTCTATCCTAAACACTACATGTTATCTGGTATAATCCTCACAATGACCCTCTGAGAGAAAGCACTGGTTTTCTTTTCTTGTTGAAAGCACTCCACTTTACAGAGGAGGAAACTGAGGCACAAAGAATTCACCCCCAAGCAATTATTAAAACTACATGCCTGGACTAGGGATTTAGCCCAGTGGCACCACACCTGCCTGGCAAGTGCAAGGTCATGAGTTCAATTTCGGGTACCAAACAAAAACACAAAAAAACTACATGCCCACTGAATTTGTTTGCAGGAAAGGGGCTCTGGTGTTGACATTTTAAAACCACTCTGCCCTCTCTTCTGCAAATCAAGTGGGTCTGGAAAATACTGGGCTATACAGTTGGCCAGTAGAGGCCGGTCAGCTACAGGTTCTGGAAGGCAGATGGTTCCTTCTCTTCCATGGAGTGGTACAGCTCTTTGCCTCAAGTCGCCCTTCTCCCCACAGTGGTCAGACTACCACCCCCACCAGAGCCGCAGCCGGTGGCTGAGCCTAAACCAGAGCCAGTTAAGGAGGAAGTCAAGCCACAGCTGCCACCTCCTTCTGCACCCAAGAAAGCACCTATAAGTCAAGAGCTGACTGTAGGCATCAATGGGTGAGTTGCCTTTGGCCCAGGACCACTCCTGAAGCTGGACTGGCTGGGGCATCCCCTCACTTCTCAGCCAACTGCGCTCACTGAACCAGTTGGAGACCCAGCACAGACAGGGTAGAGAGGCCTAGGGAAGGTGGTCATCAAACACAGACACAAGACAGTTCAGGGACATGTTATGTGAAGTGTGTAGACCTCAGTGGTGTCATGAGGCTGGAAAGGCAACATTTAGCAGCATCAAGGAAGGCCTCTGGGAGGTGTCATGAGAGTGAGGCCTGAGTGACAAAAGGCACGAGCTATGTCTTGCTGGGGAAAAGTCCTTCAGGCAGATGGAGAATCAAGAGCTGTGGGACACAAGCTCATTGTGCTCTAGGACTGCCATGAAGTACGTGTGTCAGTGTAGGCTGTGGCAGAGACCACAGAGAGGAGGAGGAAGGGAAGAGAAAGTAGAGAAGGGTGCAGCAGGACTGAGTATACCACAGTAAGAAGTTTGGATCTTGTTTTACTGGTTGCCATGGCGGTTCTGGGGCCACAAGACGTAATATGACTTATAATTTTAACAAATCCATCTGACTACAAGATTAAAAATAAGGGACAAGGGACAGATGGAAGAAGAAACAGAAAATAGAGTTGAGACTGGTGAGCTCATGTGGGCAAAAGATGACAGTGGCCTACACAGATGTGACTGCCTTTTCCCCAGCCTAAGGACTGCCACCTAATCCCCTTGAGTGGGCATCCTCCTCAGTCCATCTTCTGTTACAGTAACTGAATACATCACACTGAGAAATATGTAAAGAAAATAAATTTATTTAGTTAGTTCTAGAGGCTATGAAGTTCAAGGTCAAGGGACAGCATCCATTGACAGCCTTCTTGTTGGTGGGGCAATGCAGGGCTCACATGGTGAATGGAGCAAGATTGCTGGTTTGGTCTCTTCTTATAAAGCTGTTATGGTCCCATAAGAGGGTCCCCTCACGACCTCACCCTCTCAATACCTCACAACAGGGATTACATTTCAACATGAAATGGTGGGGATACCGACACCATAGCTTACCCATTACCCTTTTATCTACCATCCCCTCCTCTGCCTGTCCCTGGACAGATTTGGACGCATCGGTCGCCTGGTGTTGCGAGCCTGCATGGAGAAGAGCGTTAAAGTGGTGGCTGTGAATGATCCATTCATTGACCCAGAATACATGGTGAGAAGCAGGCAGAGGGCGGGACCAGAAAGAGGACTGGGGTGGGAAGGGGGTTCAAAGACCTCTATGGAAGACTCCAGCTGCAATGTAGAACCTACACTTAGGTGGGGACTCACCAGGACAGCTTACTGTGCCACCTAAGACTAGGATCCATTCTGTCTCCTGCAGGTGTACATGTTCAAGTATGATTCCACACATGGCAGGTACAAGGGGAATGTGGAGCACAAGAATGGACAGCTGATTGTGGACAACCAAGCAATCAATGTCTACCAGTGGTAAGGGCAGTGTGTCATGCATGTCTGCAGCCCAGACATCTGACGTGGAGTTTGTAACCTCCTTCCTCAGACTGTGTATGTGCATGCCTCTGGTTGCTAGTTTGGAGAGACATCTCAGGAAGGACATTGATTCTGCTTTTGTGTTGTATTTCTGGTATTTTAATTATTATGTGGTGTGGGTTTTTTTCTGATCATGGTTATTTGGGGATCTATATGTTTTACTTATCTGTGCATTAAATTCTTTTTCCATCTCTGGAAAATTCTGTTACTTATATAAACAAGTTGTTTGTGCCCTTTGTGCTATCTTCTGATTTTTTGCTAATTTCAATTACTCTTATTTTAGACTTCTTTGAGTCATCTGGGGGCTTTTGTATCCATTTTTCATGTTCCTTTGTTGTTTTTTAAGGTGTCAGAGTCTCTCATTAATTGATCATTGACCACAGCCCTCTCCTCTAGGTCTGACACTCTGTCTTTGCATTAGTCGTTTCTGCTACTCAGACTTTAAATCATGTTCTTAATGTCCTGGATTTCTGTTTGGATCTTTCTTATGGACTCCTTTTCTATGCTGGACATTCGTGTTTTGCATCTCTTTATTTAGCTTCACTAGGTGTTTGTTGGTGTCTTCTCTAGACTCTGATCATTTGTTTCATTAGTCATTATATGATTAGTTATATATTCTATAAATTTGCCAAACACCTTATAGAACTGTTTTACCTCCATTGGTTCCCTTTCAAACCTATTTGCTGAATAGCTTGTGATTCCTACCCTTCTTTGCCTCCCGTACCAACTTTAGGGAAGCTGGGAATTTTTGAAAGCATTTTGTTGCCTTGCTTTTTCATGTTTCTGATTTTTGGGTTGTTTTTTTTGTGCTGGGGTTTGCAAATTCTTTGGCCCTGTGCCCATTCTTCAGAGAAAGCCACAGTATTGTCTATGACCTCCCCCCAGGCAATCAAGGTATCCAGCATTGGGAGAAAACCAACTGCCATCCACAGCTACATTACCTTATCTATGGTAGTAAATTCAGCAACAATGGCATCAGGTGTCAACTGGATAATGACAAACCCCAGGAACCACTCATGAACAGCCCTTCACCAAAGCAAAGAGGACTCTAATTTTAGTGAAAATAATTAGGCTCCCCTTATACTTATCTATAGTAATTCAGAGCACTGATTTTTGCTGGATGTTGGCATGCCTCCAAGAGTTCAAACATATCACTAGGTTAAAGGCCTTCTTCAGGACCAACCTCTTTGATGGTTACTCCCACCAAACCTGGCCTTTCACAACAGAACACAAGCCCTGTGATCTTTCTAGTCTGAGCCTGGACCTCCTAGGGGATCCCAGGAAATCCCTAATTAGCTCTCACCCTCTCCAAGCCTATCTTTCAAGGCTGTCTCATACCCAGTCTCTGTGGAAAGGTATCACTTCGGTCATGAAGTGAGACTGTCCTCCTGGGTTGATGTCTTCTTCAACCAGGTTGGTCTGCTGGTTGTCAATTTTGTTGCCCTGTGCTGTGGAGAACCCAGGGACCGGAGGTGGGGCACTCAGTTCCCAAGTCTGCCAGGCTCTGCAACAGGGCCAGCAGGTTGTGGCACCAGCTGGGGGCAAGGCAGGAGCTTCTTAGATCCTTCAGGCATTGGCCTCCATCAGTCCACAGAGTCAACTGGGAGCCTAGAATGGTTAGTCTTAAAAAGACCTCCCAGCATTTTGGAAGCCTGAGGCAGGAGGATCACAAGTTTGATCCCAGCCTGGGCAACACACTAAGACCTGTCACAAGAATTTAAAAATTCGCCAGACACAGTGGTGCACGGCTGTAACCCCAGCATGAGAGACTGAGGCAAGAGGATCACCATGAGTTTGAGGCCAGCCTGGGCTACACAGTGAATTCATGGCCAGTCTAAACTACATAGTGAAACTCTGCCTCAAAAAAAAATTTTTTTTAAAACAGATTTTAAACAGGTCTGCAGATGTAGTTCAGTGTGAAGACCCTGGGTTCAATCTTCATTACCACAAAAAAAGTAAATAAAGAAAAGGCCCACAAACATTGGTTAAAACCCCCACGGGGGGGGGCAGGATTACTAACAAAGGACAAAGACCAGCCCTGTATGATGAAACAGCCTAGGAGATGACATGGATGCAAACAAATAATCACAGAAGCAAATTTTCCTGTTACTTGTGATAAACTCTTTAAGGGACAAGACTGCTACAGTTGATTCATTTCATGCTTGCTTACTAAAAAAGCCAAGCAGAAAACAGCAATAGATGTTTAATACATTTCAAATACAAAGATTTGTCAAAATATCAAGTAAAAATGTAGACTGATAAATCAGGGACCAGAAAGCCTCTCTTACTTTTCTGCTAGCAGCCTGCTGACAAGGTACTATGGCCACTGCTGACCGCCGCTCATCCAGCTCTCTGGATGCAGGTGTCTTCCTTCGGGGACTTTTCAGCCTCTGGCAGGGGCACCCTTTTGCAGGAACTGGTAGTAAGGAGGGCTCACAGTGAAGTTGAACAGAAAGCAGTAGACCAGGCTTCAAAGTACGAGGTCCTCATTCTGGGGAGCTTATGGTGAAAGGGTCAGACCCCTCTGAACACAGTCAGGGATGGTCCTGTTGAGAGAGTGGTGGCCTGAGTTGGGGAGGTAGCAGTCTGATTCCAGGCATAGCAGGGGTGGTACAGGCAAGGAAGAATGGCCCATAAGGGGCACAAAAACAAAGCTAGCTGGCAGGATGGCACCCATTGGGGCAGCCAGGTATGCACGGGACGGTGGGGGGAGGGACAGGCAGTAACAGGCCAAACAGGTGTCTAGTCAGCAGTGAAATGCCTTCACATGGTTAAGGCTGTGGACTCTAAAGATGAGGCCTGTACAGGGGCAATTCCTCACAACCCTGACATCCTCCACAGCAAAGACCCCAAAGAAATACCCTGGAGTGACGTCAGGAACCCCTATGTGGTGGAGGCCACAGGCGTGTACCTGTCCCTAGAGGCAACTTCGGTAAGTGGGTTAGGGTGCGCAGGGCTGGCTGGGAGGCTGTCACACTTGAAGCACCTGACTCCTGTGCTCCCTCGCTAGGCGCACATCTCAGCAGGTGCCCACCGTGTGGTCATCTGCGCACCCTCGCCAGATGCACCAATGTTTGTCATGGGGGTGAATGAGAAGGAATATAACCCTGGCTCTATGAAAATTGTCAGGTAAGAGGGGCAGCAACATCCTGAGAGGAGTGCGTGGTGCGAGGACACATCAGCCTGTGAAGGGAAAGGGAGATTCGCCTTCCCCACTCCTGCTAGATCACTGACCCTTCCTTCACATCAGCTTGCTCCTGCTTCTCCATCCCTAAGTCTCAAAGGCATCATCTTGATAACACCCTGAAACTACCTGTTAGACTTCTGAAGAAAGCACAATGTCCACAGGACATGCTTAGGGAGCCTCCCCCTAGCTGCACCTCAGGTGTCTCTGCCACCTGAAGGCACCCTCACTGAGCCTTCTCATCCCCGTCCTGACTTCTCACTAAACCACGAGTGGAAGGGAGGCTCTGCGACTCACAGCGCCCATGCATGTGTGGGCCGTTTCAGCAACGCGTCCTGTACCACCAACTGCCTGGCCCCCCTTGCCAAGGTCATCCATGAGCGATTTGGGATTGTGCAAGGATTGATGGTGAGTTGGAGCTCAGGGATATGGTGGGAGGGACAGCAGGGAAACCCAACCTCCTCTGAGGCCCTGCTTAGTGTACGGAGTTAGGCGGGAGACAATGGTTTGGCAGGAGAAGCCCACCAGTGCACAGTGTTAGTGTTCAGTTTTTGTTTTGTTTTTTGAGACAGGAACTCACTATGTAATTCAGGCTGGCCTTGAACTCACTGTGTGGCCCAGACTACCCTCAAACACACAGCAATCCTCCTGCCTCAGCCTCCCCACACTCAGATAGTGTTCAGTTTTAAAACAGCGTACAACTCTCAACCCTAGCCTGCATGTGCCTCTCCTCCACGTGGTGCTAGCCACATCAGCCTCCACAGCTCAGCCACCAACCCAGTCCTAGAAGGAGGAGGCATGGGAGCTTAAGAGCTAGAAGGCCTCACTTTGACCATCTTCTTTCCCAAGACCACAGTCCATTCCTACACGGCCACACAGAAGACAGTGGATGGGCCATCAAAGAAGGCCTGGCGAGATGGACGCGGTGCCCACCAGAACATCATCCCAGCCTCCACTGGGGCAGCCAAAGCTGTGGGTGCAGTCATCCCAGACCTCAAAGGGTATGAGGACAGGAAACTGTGATGAGGATGGGTGACAAACCCCAGAATGACTGGGTGGCCCCATAGCAAAGGGACAGACTCTGACTCCCGCCCCTACTATGGGATTTTCTAGGAAGCTAACAGGAATGGCATTCCGAGTGCCAAGCCCAGATGTGTCTGTTGTGGACCTCACCTGCTGCCTGGCCCAGGCTGCCCCCTACTCAGCCATCAAGGATGCTGTAAAAGAAGCAGCCAAGGGACCCATGGCTGGCATTCTTGCCTACTGTGAGGATGAGGTAGGGGCTGAGGAGACTTTGGGCGGAGCCCTCTAAGATGAGGGAGGGTTGATCTCTACTTACCAGGGAGCTGTTCTCAGTATGTCAAGAGAGAGACTGCTTGCCTAGGAAAGTAGATCTCCCTGCCTCCAAGCCTGTGCACTTGCTGCTCCTGTAGTCTAGAACACTTTCTCCCCATTTGGCCACAAGTTGCCCTCGCTTCCTCCAAGTCTCTATTTCAACCCCTGCCCTTTCTCCTTGAACGATGTTCTTTTTGTGGCCCCTTTCCTCACCAAAAATTTTACTTCACAGTCACTGTTACTGTTGGCCATACTATTATGTGCACTCCAAGAAATAAGGAACTTGAGAGCTATCTCTTCGGTTTCGTAGCTCCCAGAACTGGCATACTGTGGATGGTCAACACACTCCTACTTTCTCAACATTTCCTCACAGCCAGGCCATGCTAGGTGTCTTCCCTGGGAATGGATGTCACACCATCTATGTCTTCCCTGGGGCAGGAATCTCCATCTCTGTACATCTGCTTGGGTGCGCTATCCTGCTTTAGCTCCTGCAGGCCCACTCACCAAAGTACCAGGATCTCTTTTTAGCAGAATCTGACCAGATCACCTCCACTGCTGAAAAAAACCCTTCTGTGCTCCATTACAAGGGGTGAAACCCACAGGGCCTGTGTGCCTGCCGCTCCTTCCACCTCAGACACTGTGCTGAGTGCCCAAGACTGACAGATCCTGGTCACTGAGACCTGGCCTCAGGGACACCCTCAGAGACATCCTCCATGAGGGCCCATGCCAAGTACCCACCTTATTCCCAAGAAGCAATGTTAAATAGGACAACTTCAGGGTGTTTGTGGCCTGTCCTTTTGAGAGTTCCCCACAGACAAAGCCCCTATGTTCCTTGGTCACACCCTGTCCCAAGATACAGTAGGCCTCCATCAAATATTAGAAGTGATGAGTGTACCCTAAGAGCAAAAGCCTGAGCTCCTGGAGGTCCTTGTTCTGCTAGCCACCCTTACCTCTGAAACTGTGACACCCAGGTGGTTTCCACGGACTTTGTCGGTGACACCCACTCGTCCATCTTTGATGCTAAGGCTGGCATCGCCCTCAATGACAAGTTTGTGAAACTCATTTCCTGGTAAGGGAGAAAGGGTGTCAGGGGATCGTGGGGGAGTCGGGGTTGGTCGGAGGGATCGCCTTCAAGCCTCTTTTTTTTTCCATCTGTCTGCAGGTACGACAATGAATATGGCTACAGTCACCGAGTGGTCGACCTCCTCCGCTACATGTTCAGCCAAGAGAAGTAGAGCAAGAAGGCCCCTCCTTTGAGTCCTCGTGCTCCAGTTCCCGTACTTGGCTCCCCGGGGTAAATAAAAACCCAAGTATTCACAACTGCTCCCGGTCTCTGTGCCAGTAGTGGCGATTTCAGGTCAGGGTTCACGTCGGGAAACAGGGACACCCGCTGTGAGCGACGTCGGGTGTAAATTGTACGTAGCACAGGACTGCAGCTCACTGGGAAGGGGGCGGGGGCGGCGGCGCTCTGACGTCACGCGCGCGACGCCCGGGGCCGGACTACGGCTCCCA